AAAAGCATTCAGCCATCCTGCCATGTAAACTCAGTCCTTTTATAAACTGTCTTAATTTGGGCCATTCCGCATGTGTATGCTGCTAGAATGGCCAGGATGTTTTGCACATCAGACCTAGCTTTGCAGTGGTGAATGTAGGTACTGGAAGTTCTCCAGGCATGGTAGTATGCATGCCCGGCAACCTCTAGCTCAAAGTAGGGTAAATATTTAGAGTGGCTGAGCCCAGTTTGGGCTCTGTGCTGTTTTAACTAAATTGTTTCTGCCTAATTTAAAGCTGGCTTAGGCGTTTCTGCACCACACCAGCATCACTGCTGAGTACATGTACCCCTAATTGGGTATGATGAAGGCCACAGTCATGTTTTTCATGCTTCTAAGTCTGATGCTCAGAGCACTTAAGATTGTTTTTCCTGTGTGAATGTGATTGCATGTGCATTTTAATACAGGGAAAACCAGACTGTAATAGCCTAATGAAGTCCATGGGGTAGTTAAATTTGCCTACTTTCTCAGAAATCTTCATCATTCCTGTCTTCCTTAGGATGAATAAAAGGAATCTGTCAACCTAGACAGTATTCTTACTGTGTACATTTGAATCTTTTTATGGCATAAATAGGTTTCACATAACTTAAATCAAGGGTTTTTTTGCTTCCTTTGCTCCTGATTTCTTCTAAGCAAAGGAGGACATCTCCATGCACAGGGTAAAAAAGGCTAAGAGAAACTAACCCTTTGCCATTTTCATTTTACAAATCATCTCTTGGGGTGGGGGGTAGAGGGGATGGAAGTGACAGACTTGAAGGAGGGGAAATTTGTCACCTTAACATTGCAAATGATGTGAAACCAGAATGTCCTCCCACCACAGCATGTGTTTGTGGTGGGTAGGCGGGGGAGATGCAAGGAAGAGGTGATGGTATAAAAATACCTTGTAAAAACAAATGTTTGGCTAGGGAAGGGAGTTTGTGACTTCAGTCAGACTAGAGGGGGGAAACCAGACAGACCGGGGGTGGTTGGGGGGAAGAGCTTATGTCACTTCTGCAAGGTAAATAACTAGACAGTGTCGCAGAAATAGCAGTCAAATAATGAGCAGGAGAAGATCAGATATTAAACAAGTAGGTGGCCTAGAAAGTTAAGAGGAAGGAGTGAAAGCTATGAAGATCATAAGAAACAGTTAAACATGTGGCAGATACTGAGCAGAAGGGTGAAAACCCTGAGATACAGCACACAGACTTGCTAGTAGCCACTCTTCCTGTCCTTTCATGAGCTGAGAAGTGTGATTATTCTCATTTATCCTGATAATGATTCAGAACTGCCAAGTCGAATGCAGACCAGGGGCTCTATATGGTAACATGACTGCTAAATGCAGTAACGTACTGCTAGCATAGCTCTCCCTGAACGGGATGTTTCTTTCCATGTGCCATATGGAACAGTTTGTACACTCCACAGGGTCCAGTACCATGCAAATGTGAGCAGACACCAACATGACCACCCACGATGGCAGCAAGGATGGAAAATGACAGTTTTCCTTGTCATGCTCAGGAGCAGTTTGTATGCTGTGGTGTGAGACTGACATCTCCACATTTTGGGAGCTGTCGGGTGCGAGAGCCGATGGGAGGGAGGGTCAGGAGGCAGGACTGTGCAGTTCATGTTTGTGGTAGCAGCTGTCTGCACTGGGAGGGAAGTCTCCTTCCTATGTGTGATATTTATAGTTTTTATTTGGCTTTAATTGACTTCTGCAGTGCTCAAGAAGGCACCTAGCCCAAGGATGAGTGAGTGTGTGTGACAGAAAAAGAGAAGAGGTGGGGAGAGAGTAGGCTGGTGAGGTGCCCTTTATATCCAGTAATCTGTTATCCAGACATATCACCCTGTTATACAGACAGCTTCAGAAGCCACTTTCTTTCCCACTTCTCATTCCCCGGTTGCTTTAATCTCTCGACATTTGAAAGTGGCTTGGATGGATCTCTCCATGGAGAACTTTGCTCAATCAGACAAAACCTGCCCACCTGCTTCCTCTTTCTTCACTAGGAAGTGTGCCATTCTCCTGCCTTGGTGGAAACTTTTGGTGATGGCTTATTCTCCATACCCCATGGTGTAGGATCTGCAGGATATGTCAGCTGAGGTGGGGTGAGCAAAGCTCTGGTGCTGTGCAGCAGAGGTCTGTACCTCTTGCAAGGACCTAATGGCAACTCACCCCCTCTACTAACAGGCTGGCTGGTGAGGCTTCAGAGGGGGACAGGACTGTGTTTAGTGCAGGACAGGTTTCAAGAGTGGCATATGCTATGGCATATGCTCGTTGGTGCCTGATTTCCAGTCAAGGATGGAAAAAGATCATCTCTTCTCCTCCTCTGACCTAAAGCATGTTGCTGAGGTCTGTTGCACAGGGTGGAACTTTCCTCTAGTAGGTGTTCGCACAAATTCAGCTGTATCTGGCTATCTTCATATACTGGTGTGCAGTCATTTCATACTTGAATTTTACAGAACAGCAATGGGTATTTTTCCCCTTCAAAAAATTTCAAAGAAAATGCACTAACAAAACATTGTTAGAGAAACTTTGCACACTCCAGTCAGCAAATTGAAACCTGGAATACCTTTTGAGACCCTGTCTGTGCAGCTGTGTTGTTGCTTTGTCCTCAGGGCTGACTTGGGGTAGCCATGGGGATTAGTAGTCTGAGTTCCCTGACTTACATGCATGTAATATTAATGAAATATTTTGGTGGATATCTAGCTTTTACATTTCAGATTTGTTTCGTTGCACCAGTTGGTGGATTGAAACTGCCATCACAGCAGCTGCCTGAATATCATGTAACGCAACATGCCTTGATGCCTTGTCATATTTCAGTGTTTGCTCACAGCATGAACAGTCCCAAGCATTGTGTTGGGTTTTTTATGAAGGACCAGAGTTAGTGAAATAGAGGGGATCTTTTTTCCTGCTGTTTCTCACAAACCCTCAATTCTCATGCCTTTCCACTACACCTTCCTCCCACCAATTTAGTGATCACCATTTTTTACTAGATTTCTGGTAAGAAATGCAATATAGAAAGCCTAAGTAGGTGCTTCTGCATATGTCTTACTGAATATACTGAGGTCTTCCTTAATATAGTGAGCATATAATGCTATAGTAACTGAAGACTGGATGTTACAATAGTGAAAGCCTAGAGTTGTACAGTCAAGAACCTTTTTATGGAGATGTTAAAAGTAAAACCTAAAACTTTTCATGCAAATTCAGTACTTGTGATGAAATTCTGAGGAGAGTTTCTTATGTGTAACATGCAATTTCTGATAAAAGGGGATAGAAGTTCATTGCAGGGTGTCCAGTTACGTGGTTCTTCGGTGATCTCTGAGATGTACAAGACCAAGTTCTAAGTTCTCAGAATGAATTAGAAAAAAATAGGAGTATGAATTAATCTCTCCAGTACTGTAGATAACTATCCTAACTTTTGAGTGTCTTAGCTTTCCCAGAGGGTGCAAGAGTGATTTTTGTGGTTTCTTTGTGTGAATACTCTCTCGGTCTTTGTTCAATTCTAAAATTCTTTTTTTTTTTTTTTTTGTTAAAAAAAAAACAACAAACTAAACCAAACAAACTCTGGGTTTAAAAGTTTAAGTTTTTGCAAATTAGAAACCTTGTTATTCACACAGCTAGAATAATAAAAGTTGTAGGTGTCTTGTGAACATGAGGCAAAGAAGAAAATGTGTTATTTCATTGGCTCTGTGTGAGAGCAAAGTCTGGGCTTCATTTAAAAGTAAAATGTAAATATATTTTTGCTAACTTTGGCTTGTGACGGATCAAGATTTGACATATTCTCATTTTTCCTTGGGAGCTGTTAAAGGATACAGACCAACTTGAGTGCAATCTACCTTTGACAGATGACAGCAGGATTTCATGAACAATTTCTGTCTCAAGGCAACCGCCCCTTCTCCAGAACCAGCAAGTGGCAATAGCATTTTAACGGAAGGATATCAGAGAGCAGCTTGCTTTTCTCACTTGTCATCGTTATTTGTTTCTCTCCTGGCCAAACCACCAGAAGCAGGTTAAGGATGACACAAATGAGCAACAAATCACGGGGTGGAGGACAGAGCATGTGACAATGCCCTGGCTGTGGTGCAAACATTTGAGCTACGTTTCGAAAGCCTGGATTTGTGTTCAGTAGAGTTCACGAGTGAAAAATAAGAGTCTTTGACGATAACAATCAACAAGCTCAATCTCATTAGCATCTACCCTTCAGAGAAGAGGCTGGAGCGGATCCCATCAAGCTGTGATTTGGTTCAGTGCACTAGGGAAGGTTCCTAGAAGCATTCCCCCAGCTTCTTCACACTGTGCACTGAGGGGAAAAAAACAACATTTGGCAATTTGTTGTCAATATTTGTATAACTCCTGATGCCACTAAAACTGCATATGCAGGCTTTAAACTAACAAAAACAAAGCCATGGCCAAGCTGGAGAGCTGGATTTGTTTCCATGCGCAATTAGGTTTATTTGTTTAGGTCTCATTTTATTTGCTTTCAGATGACTCAGATGATAGGAGTATTGCAATCCTTTCAAAGGGAAGTAGTGTTCTGTGTATTTTGGGCATTGGGCTAAGCCAAATGTGGAAAAAATTGGCTGCTCAATAGTATTTTCCTATCCAGAGGTTTTTCAAACTTTTGAGAGGAACTGAAGGAATGTCCCTTCCATGCCAGGCCTCCCCCCTGTCCCCCACCCCCTTCACAGTGTCTCTCCACATTATTGTAAAAGAGCACAGGAATTTTTAAACACTCCTCTGTTGTGCAACTGTTAGCAACTGCTCTTATTAATTACCTTACTATTATGCTGCATGCTTAAATTCTCGCTGGTGTCATCCATAGCGTGCTGCTGAGAGTGCCTTTTAACCCATTCCAATAAGAATATATGGATGGCGCACTGCTCAGGATCTCCCATCCTGCTAGACCAGCTCTGAGGTTGCTGAAAATTATTTCCTGCATACATGAAGGATATTTACGTTTTGGCAAGTAGCCACGTTTTCTGCTGGGAGTTAGTCACTAACGGCAGATTATTTTCCAATGGACATGCTTGCACGCTATCGGTGTTAAGAGAATTGTCTCCAGTCTCAGTGCCATGGTGATCCTTTATCCTCCACCTTCAACCTGCAAAAAACAAAACAAAATAGTTTTTTTTCTTGTCTCTTCTTCTGTCTTACATCAGTAGGAAGCAGTGGCATTTAATTGGTGCTTTAGGCACCACTGTGTTTTGGGGAACACTTTTTTGTTGTCTTTGTTTTCTTCTTCTGATCATTTTCCTTCTAGAAATGCCTCCTTGGGTTATGTTTCAGAAAGTGTAGACAATAAGAATAAATCCACATTTATTCCTATATCCATGAAATAAAAAGGTTAAAGGATTTTCTGCACTCACCAGAAGTATGCGTCTGATTTATGGCCTTCCTTATAGCTCTTCCCACTCACAGTCATAAAAGAAATACAGTAACAAAGGCTAATAGACAATCTATTTTAAAGTTTGTCCTGATAAAACCAAACTGGAACTTTATTCAGTCTTAAATGTCAATTCTAAAATTTGGAATGTTTTTCTAATCAAGAACAATAAATGTGGAAAGTGTTTCTGTGGAATGGAGCTGCGACCCAGCGCACTGTTGGCCTGGTGCTGCACACACACTTCAGAGGCAGATGGAGTCTGCACATCACATAGTCCTTCCTGTGCAATAGCTTGCTCTGTGAGACTGCTTGGCCCCAGGAGGGACTGAACAATGCTTAGGATATGTGATTTGTTGTTTTATTTTGCTTTTAAGAGGATAGGAACCCAAAATATACATATGAAAAATGACCAAATTGAGATGGGATGTAAATCTTCAAATACAGTAAAGAAAAGAAAAATGCTATACATTTCCAAGCCTGTGCTAAAAACTAGAAGTAATAAGGTTAGAAAATGGATTGGATGGTGTCTAGAGACCTGTTCCATGCCTATGATGCTGTGTTTCTCTCCCTTTAGCTGTGGAGAACTGAGACTGTCAAAATAGATAAAACCCATATAGTGGCCTTACTTAAACAGGGTATCACTTTATAATACCTTCAGGGCATGTCAACATTGTGCCTGGAAAGTCTTCAGCTACTCTCACAATGCAGTCCAGTGCTCAGGCTGCAAATCTCCTGCCCTTTCTCTGCATGCAGCATTTTGCTATGTGCAATTCTTCAGGTCTAATCCAAAACTGAATGGAAGAACTATGGACTTCACTGGGAGCTGGGAGAGGGGGCTACATCAGGACCCGTCAGGGCTCATATTCTATGGGCTAGTGTTAAATATTCAGTTTCATTATCAAAGTATGCTGTTGATGCAGGACACTTAATTTGACTTCTGTTGACTTGTAAACATAAAATCAAATTTTTTACACTGCAAATGTGGAGCCATTCCAGATGCATATGCTTCAAGTGCACAGGAAAACATAAAAACAGTACACTATATTATAGCTCCCTCATCACATAAGATACTTCCTACATTAAACTGATTTTTACCATGTATGGGCTCCTTTAGTTGCCATGTACAACTATCTGGTAAGACAGAGACCTTTTTTGGCATGTTATATGTACCTTTTGCTTTTTTACTTATACCACACTGTAAGCTACAGCTGGCCAGGTTGTGATTTCAGCTTAAGATGTTTTTACCCCTTCCTTCCTGCAGATGTGTAGTTGTGCGTAGGCACATACTTGCTGATGTCTGGCTCGTAATTCAAATATTGAGACTTGTGGCCTTGCCAGCATTTCCTGATGTGCATTACAGGTGAGCCTGCAGGGGGAAGGAGACCCTGAGGAAGAAAATTAAGAGAAAAGGACTTTAAGATCTAAAAGCATCAGCCTTGAAGCTACAAGGCAGAGTCAGGACATGGAAGGAAGGCAGACTGAACTTTCTCTTCCAGGTGATAAGGGACCTGAAAAGTTTAGGACTAATTAAATCTTATGGCAGTGACAAGCACAGGTAAGATAGTGTACACATTAGGTTTCTGTTATCCTATCCCTCTGTTCTTTTCACTAAGACAGTGAGACAAGTCTGTATCTAAATGCATGCTCCTGTTCGATTTCAGAGTACAATAACTCATCTTGAAATATTTCTGGTGAGGTATAAGTAAATCTCATAGTGTGGACGATACGTGTATGCTTTTTCATAGTATTTTCAAGTATTACTTTTTAGCTGAGGTGGCTACCAGCCATGAAGGAGTAACTTAGGCCACTTGAATGTTAAACATATCTTAATCAGTAACGACAGCACCAAATGCTGGGAAGCATGAGGGGGAAAAAGAATGGGGGAGGGTGAACCACCAGTGGTGCTCTGAGGACTGAGTGTGGTAGTAGCCAGGAGAGCATACTCTGCCCTGCTATCCTCTGACACTGGGTTTTTCTCCATATCTGAGGCTTGTTGCACATAATTTGACTAAGTAAAACAGAGGAGAGACTTCAGACTGTTTGGACCTACAGGTGCTACTGTCAAAAAACACTTTTATCCTCCACTCATGCAGATCAAGCCATCATCCAAAAATCAATTATTTTGATAACCTATTTGATTGCGTCTTTGTGATGTTTCTACCGATACTCTTTATTACCTTATCCTGTTAATTTTGAACAGGGCTTTCAATCTGGCTATGATTAATAACCCTTATGTATATTATGATTAATAATCCATTATTTATATTATGATACACGTTTACTTACTGCTGGATTTCAAAAAGTTGAAGTTGTTGTTTTTTAACTATACTCTTCAACAAAGTAACACGTATCAGGCATCTTCGTTCCAGCAAATTTTTCCGTGTGGCTTTTCTTGTTATTATTCACTTCCTTATACGTATATCTATAGCTATGTGGTCACTCACCAGCAGATGGGAGCTCCCTCTGCTTGTGCTCTGAGCTGTGCCTGTAGTTAGCAAGGTGCAGAGCCCAACTCATAAACTTGCAGCTGTGGCTTAACACTTCTCCAGCATGGCTACATAGCTTTCAGTCAGCCCCGGGCGCCGAAACATCTGTCTGCAATGTACTTTGTAAATAAACTCAGAGTGAGTCGGTGTAGTGGCTTCCTAGACAGAGGAGTATTAGTATACAATTAAGTAGTACTTGAAAGTAATGTGTTTCTGCCACAGGTAGCACAGGTTTGAGTCAGAAGTCCAGTAGAGCTAAGTGATGTCATGTATGCAGCTCAAGTGAACAAGATCACATTTGCAGCATTGAACAGTAAGGCACAAGTGAAGGTAAAACTGCAGGTTGTGAGACCACAGGGTTGCAATCTCAGACAAACCTTCATATACAGATGAGGAAAAAATGGCACCATGCAGGACAAGAAATCTTCTGACCCTTCTGAGCTGACATGCAAAGCAGAATTGCTGGAGAAAGCTGATTCATGATATTTGCCCTTTCTTCCCTCCATGACTCTTTACTATCACTCAGAAGAGTGGGGCAGCGGACTAAAATTGTGAAGGTAAATGGCACCACGACACCTGCCAGCCATGTGCAGAAAAGCCAGTGTGCCAGAGAGAAACACAGGTCTGTGGTACAAAACATACTTATATGAGGGGGTGAATCTGGGGAGTATGAAACTGTGCCACTATTTGACCATGCAGGGCTGAGCTCTCACTTCCATGTGAAAGGGGAAAATCCTTGTGATTGCATGTTAAGGCAAAAATCCATCATTTCCACCTTGCTTTCATTCACCTCTTGCTAGCTTTATGACTAAGAGTCTCTCTGTTGTGTCTCGTGCTTCCTCTGTCTCATGCTTTATTTCTTCTCCCCAAGCATCCCATTGAGGCACTGTGCAGAGTCTGCACACCCCTGCCAGAAGCTGTGGTACTCCTTGGGAGCATGTGCTGTGTCTCTTGCCTGCCCTTTGCACAGCCATCTGTAAATATCATCCAAGCCCACTCCTGCACCTGCTTTAATTGCCTGTGTGCTTGCTGAGGGCCCGGCTTTGCAGAGGAGCACGTGTGACAGCTTTGCATTGCTTTTAGGACTCAGATGTTCCCTCACAGTCTCAGTATTTGTCAAGGGGACAATCATCTCAAGAAGTGTTATTGCAGATTGACCCTTTACTGCAGGGTCTGTATGGGTTCAACACCTGCTGATCACATGTAGGGATGCTGGCCCAGGAGCAGTGGACCATGACCACTAGAACAGCCATTTCCAGCAAACCATAGTTGAGCAGCCACTCTTCAGTCACCCTTACCATCCCACAGATTTCCAGTTAAAAGCAAAAACTGAGCTGTCTGCAATGAAATGTACCACTTGCATAGCAATTGCTGCACTTAAGGACATTCACAGAAGTAAATGAAAGCCATGCTGGTGGCTGTTGCCCCTTTACAGCAGCTTCAAGAGCTCTTTCTGTTTTCCTCAGCTAAAATGATGCCAGGATGCTTTTGTTGCCTGACAGGCTGCTGGCAAGAGCCCTCCTTTTGGATACTGCCGATGGTGGTCCTGCTTACCACTGCTGGGCCTGGCAGCTGGGGTCTGCCCTACTGCCTCAGCCAGGAGCAAGCACCCGGGGCAGCCCTGGCTCCAATCATCAGGCACCTTCCTATGGACGGGCTACATGGGGCAGGGCATGGCTGTGGGGAACTGGTGACCAACCCTGCTGTGGTGACACTGGGGAAGGGACTGATGTCCCCCCCAGGGGAGAATGAAATGGGGCCCTGGGCAGGGTGGGGAGCCCCAGGGGCTGGCAGGGCCCCAAGGGACGCTGTGGCTTTCCGGTGCCAGCGTCACCCCGTGCAGGAGCCGGCGGGCACAGCACGTGCAGGCCGTGGGGCTGAGCGTGAGCACACCTGCCTGCTTCACGCCAAACCTGCCCCAGGGCCTCCTCCAAGTCGTAGACCTCAGACTTAATCAACTACCGGGTTTTAATGCTTCTGCCAGAAGAGGGTGACTGCTGGATCTGGCTTTTTTCCTGGATAGCTAGAGAAGCCTGGATAGCTAGAGAAGCTGATGTCTCCTGGGTGTAGCCAGACAAAACTATCATCTGGCCAGGCAGTAAACAAAGCCATTTGTTAAAGGTGAGTGCAAAACCTCAGCACCAGCCCGGCCTTCTGTCTGTAACCAAAATGTTTATCCCATTTGAATTCAAGTCTCTCTGCAAACTGGAGTAAGTTTATGCCTCAGCAGAGCACTTTCAAATGGAAACCAAAGGAGAACATCAAGCACTCAGCATCTGAAAAGTCACCTCACAGAGAGGCAGACACCTGTAAATGGGTAAAAGGGTCCCAGTGCTAAGGTTAGTTTCCAACAGATAACAAGGAACTGGGAGTGACCTGCTGCTTAACAACCGCTAAGGAAAAGATGGCATGATAGGAGAGGCTTCAGTTTATTTCAGAGGCCTGACTTTTGCCTCCGTGCTCATGGCAGTATTCTTCATTTGTGCAATGTTTCCCACAGCAATTGTTTCAACAGCAACAATGCTGTTAAGGAAGAAACGATACTGTTGATGAATTATTTGGTGTTAGCTTTCCAGTCAGAAAAGTGAAAGGAGATGTATTTGTCATACTGAGGTGATGTCACTTTGGGAAGGGAACGATGTTTTTGGACTACAAGATAATTAATGTCTGCTACCCCTGAGGGTTTGATTAAACTATCAAGTACCAAGTGACATCTTTGCCACATGACACTTCTTTGGAAACCGTAAGCACCAGAACAGCATTTCAGTGTATACTTTGGCTAACATGGAGACATTGTTCCTCCCCAGGGCTGAATTTGTCATGACTCCTGGGTGGTGAGGAACCTTTGGTCTCTTGAAATAGGTTGTTTCCTTTTTTGGAGAGACAAGAAGACGCAAGCTAGGGATTAATAAATATTCTGCATTCCACAATCAGCATCATGGAAGAAACTCTATTAAATACTTTTTTTTGCTGTAGGTGTTTTAAACACAGATAACTAATGCTGGCACCAGTAAAGTTCCGTGTACTGAAGGAAGTGCACTGATAAAGAGTGACAAACACCCACCTTATACCAAAGGGATGGTGAAGGAAGACAGAAACGTCAGCAAAAAGGGGAAGGACGTACAGGTGAAAGAAAAAAAGAAGTCACACTAATATGGGAGAAAAGCAGACAAAGCAATTGTTAGGAAATTAATCAGGGAATTATCCCGACATACTGGAAATCTCTCTGTTCCACAGGCAAATGGGCCCTGCTGTGGTAGATAACACTGTCCTAACTTCTTACACTTCACTTCTAATAGGTAAAATCTGTCCCGATCCTCAAATATCTTCAGCTACCTTGTCCAAGTTTGTGCAAGTGCTGTGCAAGAAAAACCCATGCACGCTAGCTCTGATAGAGCAGGGAATATAGCAGGTGAAAAAAGAAAGCTAATTGTCATGGTTTAAAACCAGGCAGAGGGCTCGTTCATTCACTCTCCCCCTTCTTTCCCTCCCCCTACTCCTGGAGGGATGCAGACGAGAATCGAAAAGAATGCAACTCCCACGGGTTGAGATAAGAACAGTTTAGTAACTAAGGTATAACACAAATCACTACTGCTACCACCAATGATAATAATGATAAAGGAAATAACAAGGGAAGAGAACACATCATCTCACCACCAGCCAACTGATAACTCGCCCCCCGCAGCCCGACCAAGCACTGACCCATACCTCCTCCAACCCTGCAGACTCCCAGCCCTTCCGGCTAACTCCCAGTTACCTCCTGGGCATGACGTGCTGTGGTATGGAATACCTCTTTGGTCAGTTTGGGTCAGGTGTCCTGTCTCTGCTTCCTCCCAGCTTCTCCTCCTCCCTGACAGAGCATGAGGCTCACAAAGTCCTTGGCCAAACCAAAACATCATTGTTATCAGCTCTGTTCCCCAGCTGAATGTCAAAACACTGCACTGCACCAGCTACCAAGAAAGAGAAAAATGACGGCTACTGCTGACCCCAGGACACTAATTAAAACTAAATATTAGAAAGTTGTTGCAATCCCATAATGGAGATTGATACAAAATTAATTTTCATTTAAAAATAAAGGGCAAACAGGTGTTTTTTATATTACTATTTTTTTCTTCCTTATAAGAAAGATACCACAAAATTTCATAATGTTCAGCTGTCTTCCCATACAATGAGCTTATTTCCTGCTCTGTAGCTTCATGACTTTTAAGGGCACCACAGGCATGATGCTTTGTTGCTCTGTAAGTTTCCCAACTGGAAGTAAGTTTGTTGAGTAAGTGAAACAATAGACATGAAAATAGTAAAGGAAGGAACATCCCCATAACTTGACTAAACTTATTGCATTCCAAGCAGGGTGAAGTGAGCAAAAAAAACCCAAACAAAATCCAATTTGAAATATTTTGTTGGACTTTGTTTTAAAACTTTCTGTGAAAAGATTCAATAGATTTTTTTTTTTTTTTTATCCTCAACTTGTTTTGGGTGAAGCTGAGTTTTCAGGATCCAGACCTTCTACTGGCTGTAATATTTGGTTGTTGTTAGAAATCATCAGGCTCGGATTCCTGAGACTGTTTAATTCACCTGTATCAGCCAAAATGCCAGAGAAACAATTTGGGCCTGCAGGGCCCAAACAGAAAGTCTTTAAAATGTTGCCCCATCATTCAGAACCTAAAGATCAAGATTTATTTCCTTCTTTTTCACATGCTGCAGCATAAATTGTCTCCAATTTCAGTGATCTTGAATAGAAATCATTTTGCTGGCATAATGTGGAAACCAGAGAAAATACGAAATAGAAGGTGTTGAGTCAAAAGCTATAGTTAACTGACCAAGGTATTACAAAGTTGTTGTTAATGCTCTCCACTTTTATTTAAGTTCTATTAAATAATTATGTAACCTGATGCCTTTGTTTTATTTGTTTTATGGATTTGTGTGTTTCTTAACTTGCTAGGGCATGGGATTGGAAAATCTCATGGAATTTCTCATGGCTTCAAGGAAGGAAGTAATTCTTTTCTGGAGTCAAGTTCCATGTGTGACAGAAAATATTTGTATATTTTGTGAACTTACTTGTGTTGAAAAAGAAATGTA